GGGGCCATTTTGAAGAAATATTTATGGTCTCTTGTGTATTATTAGTTAGCAATATATAGTTCATTGAATAATTTCTTAAATTGTTTTTAAAAAAAAAGAATAATTTCTTAACACGTGTATTATTTAAAATTCTTGTATTATAAAATCAACCAATTGGTTTTCTCGTTTATTTTATGTTTAAAGGAATTTAATTGTTAAATTAATTAAATTTTTATATTTATTTCCACTTTAAATTATAAATTTAATATATTCTTCAACCGATTACGAATTTTAAAAGTAGTACGATTATGTCTTTTTCTTGAAAGTGGGTATTGCTTTCATTAACATTTGCTAAAGCCAAGAAAAGTGAGTCTGCTTACACAAGTGGGTATTGCTCTCAAATTGAGCAATCACGGTGGCTACCCAAATCTGTACCATTCATTATCTCTATTTTATTATATTTTTAAATTGACGCTACAAATTAGATTAAGCGTACTTTTGAAAATAAAAAAATACCACACCTGATTTCTATTCCTTAAAACCTAATCTCTCCCCACCCATCCCTCTCAGCCGTCTCCCTCCCTCTCTCCACTACAAGAAATATTCCATTCGATGACCACAAAAAATGGTCGCGAAAACAAGAAAAGTGGTCGTCGAATCATTTTGCGATCATATTTTTCGGTCGCTAGAGTGGTCGTATATACACCGTCATCTTAGGTTAATGCGACCACTAAAAAGAATGGTAGCTAAAAATAATGCCATTGGCACCAGAATAGTGGTTGCCGAATGTAAACCATATTGCGATCATTGCCGTTTTGTTCACCTGAGAGCATGTTTCGGCGAACAATATAAATGGTCCAACGATAAAACCCGCCCTCCACTATCTCCGGCGAGCTAGACTCACCTCCCGTCACCCGCCGGCCACAGGCCGTCCCTCCCTCTCTTTCCCACCACTGCAGACCCTCCTCTCTCTCTACCAAACCACCCTCCCCTGCCCACCACGCCGCCCACAATCCCCTCCCTCCTCTCTTGCCCACTTTCCCTCCTCCTCCTCCTCCCTCTCTCTCTCTCTCTCTCCCCTCAAATCAGGGGCGTAGCCAGGATTTCGCTTAAGGTGGGTCCGAAATGAAAATATATAAAAATAAACTTAATTAATGTTTACAATGATCCACGACGTGTTTTCATATCTTGGAAAGTTTGTAAAATACACTCATCATCCAACCTATCTAAGATATCACTCTCAACATATCCTATTAAAAAATCATTCAACCCTTCATCACTCATTCGACTTCGTAGTGTGTTCTTCACGTAGTTCATTGCCGAAAAAACTCTTTCAACACTAGCGGTGGCAACTGGTAACAACAACGCCAATTTCACAAGTCGATACACTAGCGGAAACGATCGAAACTTCTTTGCCACAACCATTTCCCTACAAAGCTCAGCAATTCCCTTCAACTTAGTGAACCTCGTATTCATCTTCACATCAAAGATATAACTATCTAGCTGAGGATCAAGATGTAAGATATCATCAATCGAGAATTCATTAGGATAGAAGGTAGCAAGCTTCAACAACTTTTCCTTGTCAAAGTCAGCAAATGCATCATCCGGATTTAGGCAAGCCACACAACATAGCAATTCAGTGTTCACCTCATCAAAACGACTGTTAAGCTCTTGTAACTGCATATCCACCACTGTATAGAATAACTCAACCTTGTAATGATGCAGATTGGTGATTTGTTGAGCATTTCTCCTTGGCCTTCCAGAAAGAATGTATAACTCATCCATGTTGGAAATGGGAAGATATTCCTTCTTGCAAAAAGAAATCACACTATCAAGAAGAGACTCCCATCCTTTATCTCTCAAATCTTGTAATCTAAGCTTTGCTCCACGAACAAGCTGCATGGCATTCACTATGTCTTGGTCTTTCCTTTGCAATGATTTAGATAACTCATTAGTAATTGCTAACACTTTAATCATCATATGCAAAATGAATGCAAAATCAAAACTTTGGATGCATATCAATGTGACAGATGCTTCACCCTTTGCTTCACCTTTTGCCTCCTTTTTGATGATATCCAAACAATCAATAACAGAAGAGTATATCACAGGCAAGTTAAGAAGTGTGTCAAAATGAGATCCCCAACGAGTATCACAAGGCCTTTTAAGACCAACTTCTTGATTTAAACCCTGTCGAGTCTCAAGTTCACCACAACATAATGCCTCAACAACTTTAGCAGCTTGACTTTCTCGAATGTTGTCCATCCTCTTACACGATCCTCCTACCAAATTAATCAAGTTGGTAATAAGCGTGAAGAAGCCACTAACATCTCCATGTTGTTTAGCAACAGCAACAAGCGTTAACTGCAGTTGATGGGCAAAACAATGAACATAGTAAGCTGATGAGTTTTCTGCCAAAACTAAAGCCTTGAGTCCATTGATTTCCCCACTCATGTTGCTAGCTCCATCATAACCTTGGCCCCTTATTCTTGACAAGCTCAATCCACTTGTCACTAGAATTGATTCAATTTCCATTTTAAGTGTCAAGGCTTTAGTATCTGAAACATGAGCAATCCCAAGAAGTCTCTCCATCACATACCCTTCTTGGTTTACATAACGTAACACAACAGTCATCTGCTCTTTGATTGATGTATCACGAGCCTCATCCACCAAAATGGAAAACAGATCTTCTCCAATATCACAAATTATTTCCTTAGTTATTTCAGATGCAATAGCATGAACAATGTCCTTTTGTATATCTGGGGAAGTCATTTGAAGATTTTTAGGTGAATTTTCCAACACAACACTATGCACATCCACTCTACCAAAAGCATGGAACTTTAGAAGTTCAATGAAATTCCCTCTATTCTTCGAACTTTCTGATTCATCATGTCCACGAACTGCATGACCTTGGCGTACACAATGCTTGATGCAGTCAATTGAAGCTTGCAAACGAATTCTATAATCTTTCTTTACTTGGTCTGACTGTTTGCATAAAGCAACTCTAATGCTTTGTGACTGTGTTAACAAGTCTTCACACTTTCTCACAGCCTTATTGTGCTCGCTATTAACAAAACCAACATGGTTATCAAGAGCTTCATCTCCTCTATTCCATGCTTTAAAACCAGTAGAAATGAAAGAAGCACCTCCACCTTTTCTACCATCATCACTTCGAAACAAGAAACAATGCAAGCAATATGCAGCATCTTTTGCAATGCTATACTCCAGCCAATGATATTTTTTATACCAAGAAGCTTTAAAGCTGCGAAGCCTTCCCCCGACATCTTTAGTTGGAAAATTATGATTGGGTCGACAAGGACCTTTCTGAAGACAATATCTTCTAACCATATCTCGAACATTATGATGAAAGCATGATAATTGTTCTCTTAAGCCAGGATCAGCTTTCAATGATCTCACATCCAATTCACTTTCTTTAGACCCAAAGCAAGGTTTGGAATGATTTACCGGGAAAGATTGTTGTGGCAATATTGGTGGTGATGTTGAGCTAGAATCATGTGCAACCACTCTTGATCCGCCAACTTCATGCCCGTGAACATCTGAAGCTGTTGTCTTGGGCTTTTTGGGATAATATCTTTCCATAATCAAAATCTACATAATAGAAAAGTAAGTAGAGAATTAAACCATTAATCAAGAATCTAATGAGAAAGAGTTTCAAGTTCAAATCCCTTTTCCAATGAATAAGCTAGTTCAATCTTTCTTGTTTTGGCTAACTGGCCATTATTCTGATTCACATTGCAATTATTCTATTGAATCCCTCCCACTTAGTTACTTTCACAATTCCCCTGTCAAAGGCCAATTATTATATTGAAGTCAAGCAAACAAACAAAGCATGAAGGAAAATTGTTAATTCTTTCTCATTTAAACAACCTGTAGAGATCCCACGAAGAACCAATTATATTAGTTAACTAATGTAAAGTGGGATTGTTGGGTAGTGCCATGGAATTGTATATACCTGAGCTGTCTCTTGTCTTCTTCCTCTTGACTCTTAGTGTTATAATAAAGCAAGTGGTTTGTGTGCCTGTGGAGAGAGAGAGATGCGAGACTCTGCTGTTGTTGGAACTTGGACGGAAGACTCTGCCTCCGCCCCTGGATATCGCGGACCGCGGAGAGGATCAACGCGAGAAGATGATGATGAGTAGACCACCAGACATGGCCATCTGCAATAGGACGAAAGTCAAGATGAATTGGTGTGGTGGTTGAGGGTTTGCGGCAGCGGAGCTTGATGGGAAGGAGAAATCGAAAGTTTCTGAATTGGGGATTTGGAATAAACAAATACGAATAGGTTTTAATTGTTATTTGATTCTAAATTAGTTTAAATAGTATAAAAAGCCTCGTGGTTAATACAATTACAAAAATCCTTCTAGTCAACTGGTAAGGTTTACTAACTTCTCTTTCCCTCAGCTAGGTTCGATTCTCCCCTGCCGCACCAGCATTCTACTCTATTTTAGTGTCCTTACCCATTCTCAAGGTGGGTCCCGGGACCCAGGCTGCTGTGCTCTGCCTCCGCCCCTGCCTCAAATGCCAACAGAGACAATGCATGCATGCAGGGCTAACTCCAACGATGGTTTGGGGCATTGGTTCGGTACATGTTTGGTTTTATTTTGGTATTTGTTAGTGTTTTAATGATTTGGTATTTGATAAATCTCTTCTACAAAAAACATTAAAACATAAATCTAGGTTTTTTAGTTTCGGCATTGGTTTGATTTTAATGTGGTATTAGTGGGTAATTAGCATAAAAGGTCACAAACTTATTCACTTTGTACGAAACGGTCACAAATCTAAAATTTTCTACGTTTCAGTAACATACGTTTGAGAGAATAACGAAATGGTCGTTCCATCCATCTCCATCCAAAAAACCGTTAGTTTTATCCAGTCAGCACGCCATATCACTTAAAATATTAATAAAAAATTCAGTGACCAAACCCAATTGAACCGGACAACCCAACCAAAAACCCTAATGTTATACCACCCGAAATAATGGAGACTCTTTCCTTGAAAAAAAGATCTCGACGCCCCTCTGCCCGCGTCGCGGCCTGAACCGAAGTCCCCACGTCGATCGCTTCCCCGACTCTCCCACAGCAGCACCCATCAATCAATCAATCTTGGACCAGAATATGCTCTGGTGCAGGTCTTTGCTCAACGTACACTGCGCAAAGGGGAATTCATGTAAGCGCCTAAAACAATCTCCATTTGGCCTCTACGCTTCCTTTTTTTTTCTTTTCCAATTGCCCACCGTGATGATACGTAACGCAACAAAAGAAATTACAGATCTCGTTCCGCTTGCGGGAAGGTCCTGGCCAATAGGACCTCGCCACCGGCGATCAGAAAATGGCAGTCGTCAAGTATGGAATGGTAGGATCGAAGAGAGCCTGGAAAAATGTCGTCGCAATCATTGACACTGACACCGACGATTCTAAATCCGATGACTACAGCTAGCGACCGTCATCCTGATGACGATTGGGGATTCCTCGATGATTAGTTTCTGAACAACATCGTTCGTCTGGTTCAGTGCGGCGACGCGAAGCGGCGGCCCCGTTCGCCTGTCAGAACGACGACGTGAGCAGGGGAAAGAGGGGAAGTTTGCTTCAGGGCGGCGACCCGACCAGGAAGCGAACTTCCGTTTGTTTCGGTCGGCGGCTCTACCGGAGAAATTATCGGTGACTGGAGATTTCTGAGGGCGCCATTCTGGGGAGCGGAATCGCTCTATAAGGGCCGAGTGAAAAAAGTCTCCAAGATTTCGAGTGGTATAAAATTAGGGTTTTTGGTTGGGTTTTCCGGTTCAATTGAATTTGGCCATTAAATTTTTTATTAATATTTTATGTGACATGGCATGGTGACTAGACGAAACTAACGGTTTTTTTAAATGAAGATGGACGGAATGACCATTTCATTATTCTCTCAAACATATATTACTGAAACGTGCAAAATGAAAGGTTTGTGACCATTTCGTACTAAGTGAATAAGTTTGTGACCTTTCATGCTAATTACCCTGGTATTAGTTGATTTTTTTATTTATTTGGTATTAATGCTTCAATTTTATTATGGTATTGGTTTGGTTTGAGTGTATTCGTATTGGTACTAGTTTGATACTTTTTTTTGTAGTTGTATTGGCTTGAGTGTAATCGTATTGGTAGTGGTTGTCATATACGTTTTTCATAATGGTACTTATTGTCTAGGCTAGTATGGATTTTTCGTATTGGTATTGATCTTTCTTGGATTGGTATTGATTTTGTATAGGGTGGTATGGATTTTTCGTATTGGTATTGATTTTACTTGGATTGGTATTGATTTTTACTAGGTAGTCGGAGAAAGTATAGATGGTTAAATCGATGAAGCACAAGGATCAAAGGAAGGCAAGAAAGCAAAATCAGATAGAGGGAGAGATATAGAGCAAATAGTTTAATTTTTGTAAGAAATTATTTCTTCAATGTAATTAACATACATGTAAGTAATTTTTTATATTCAATATCAATACATCCAAACAAAATATACCAATACTATAATGTCAACACTACCAATAAAACATATGCACCACTACTAAAACAATAAGCATCAGAATACCATTCAGACTCTTAGTAGTCATCAGTTACCACCGTAACCCCTCCAGTGGGAGTAAAGTAAAGTAATTACATGATTTAATTATTTTCCCCTGGAGTCAACGTCATCCTCCCCTCACCGGCATTGTTGCTCACCAGCGTCATTGCACACCGGCGCTCTTCCCGAGCCTTTTTTTTTTTTTTTTGCCCAAAGATGTTTTACAAGGGAAGGGAATTGAGAGAGAGAGTTTTCTGGTCAGTTTTTCCGGCAACCACTACAAGAAACTGCACTTTCTGCGACGAATTCTACAGCGACGATAGAAAATTCGTCGCAGAAAGTGTACAATTTGCAACGAATTTCACTTTTTCGTTGCAAATGGTGTGAAATCTTTTTGCGACGATAGTTTTTCGTCACAGAATGTATGTACACTTTCTGCGACGGTAGCACGTCGTCTCAGAATGTTCGGGAGTTTTCTGCGACGGTTATCTATCGTCGCAGAATGTGCGTAGACTTTCTGCGACGATTGTCTGTCGTCGCAGAATGTATGTATTTTTTCTGCGGCGATAGCCATCATCGCAGAATGTTCGAGAGCTTTCTGCGACGATGGCCCGTCGTCGCAGAATATATCTAGCTTTTTTGCGACGATAACCCGTCGTCGCAGAATGTTTGGGAGCTTTCTGCAACGATGGCATGTCGTTGCAGAATATTCGAGACTTTATGAGAACTTTTTTTGTCATTAGGTAATGCTTGATGAAATTTTATATTGGACTTAATTATCTAACATAAGGCTTATATTTGGACTTAATTTTATATTTTATATTTGGAGCTACGAATTTTCCAAGATAATTGGAATTGGTAGATTTAAAGTGCTTTGATGAATTTTATGATTTGGGTAAATACTATTTTTTAGCTAAACATTTTCCCCATTCCAAATTAATAGCCAAGCCTTTTGAAATCTTAATAATTAGCCAACCATTAAGTCTGCGTTAATAATTTCGTTAAATGACGATGAGCTGACGAATATTGTGCTGACCTGGATCTTAGGTGGCCAACTGAAGTGTAGGAAAGATGGCAGTGATGGACTGGTGGTGATGATTATCCGCATCTGCGCCACAAGTTTGGTTATTATTATTTCTTTTATTGTTTTTTATTTAAATGATAAGTAAAAATATGCTAATTAATGTGGATGCTGATGTGGATTGTTGGTTAACGGTGTTATTAACGGTTACATATGAGTGGCTAAAATTTTAGACAAGTATAAAAGGTTTGGCTATTATTTGTATTACCAAAGGTTTGGCTATTATTTTGAAATTATTTATCCTGATTTTCCTATTAAGATTGACTAAGGATTAAATATAAGTGAACAATTATAGATGACACATGCTTTATATGTAGCCGTATTGGTTCAAATGTTTGTTGTAAGTTTGTTGACTTGTAAGCAACAGGTCGACAGTTCGAATCCATAAGGAGTATTTTTTCGTAAAGGGTTTGGAAGGGTATTTTAGTCAATACAGAGAGGGTTAGTATATAAAGAAAGAGTGGAGAGTGCTAGAAAACCCTAGCCGCCCCAACTCATTCTACTTCTTCTCTCTTTTTCCTCTCTCTCGTATTCTCTATTTCTCTCCCAAATCGACAACCCGACTGTGTTCCTCTCGGCGGCGGTGGAAGACAGATAGACAGTGGGAGAAATAATGAAAGGGGTCGTTGGTGCTTCGGTTGTCAATGGCGATGAGGGAAGATCGAAGAGTGCATGGGTTTTGGCATCTGACAGCGGCGAATCGGCTACTCTCGATCGGAAAAGCGATGATTCGGGTAAGATTTGGCCTGCATGTGTGTTTTTCTTGAGGGTTTCTGGCTCAAGAATGCGATTGTGACAGTTTTATTCTGGGTTTTGTTTTCAAAAGAGGGAATAAGAAATGGGGTTCGCCAATGGCATCAGATGTTGAAGGCGGTGGATGAAGCTCGATGGATCTCAAATCTCCTCCAGCCGCGTTGAAGGAAACTAGATGGTTCAACGTCTCGCATCTGGCCGTGGTGAATCGGCTAGAACCGTCGGCCGATGAACCAGATCTGCTCTTCCGACGAGAAAAGCGAAAGAAAGAAACCAGATCTGCCTTTTTTTGGTAATTTATTATATAAATGTGCAGTTATAATTGTCAGAATAAAATTGTTTTCCCAAAAAAGTTCCTTAGTTTTTTATTGTATTATGATTTTTGTTTTAATTATTTTGCAGGTTTGGCATTCGGACTTGCAGATCTGGATTTTGGATGAGGAATTGATAGTGTATTTTGGGCAAATCTGGAATTTTTTCTCTGATGAGGTGCAGATTTGATGTTGATGAGGGAACCAGAAAATGAAACGAAAATTAAATTGTGACCTAAACTGAAATTAACCCGGATATAAAATGCGCCCTAAACTGAAATCAACCCTGATAAAATGTGACCTATACTGAAATTAACCCAAAAATAAATTGTGAATAATTACAAAAAAATGGCCATCTTTCTGCAACGAACTGTCCGTCGCAGAATACCCTTATTTTCTGCAACGGTGCAATGGGCGTCGCAAAATGATCATTGTGCGACGAAATGATCGTTGCTAAATCATTGCCCTTCAGCAACGAATTTGGTTTTTCTTGCAACGAACCGGTTTTTTCCGTCGCTGAACTTTCTGCAACGCTGTATAGGCGACGAAGGGTTTTTCGCTTTTGCGACGGAAGAATTCGTTGCAGAAGGCTTCTGCGACGAATTTTTCCATCGCAGAAAGCGAAGTTTCTTGTAGTGAACGGCGGAGTAGGCTTTCCGGCGATCAGAGACGGCGGAGGAGGATTCTCCATCGGCACTGCTGCGTTGGTGATGTTTGTTAACCTATGTTGTAATGTTTATAAGTTCAATTTGTAATGTTTATATCCATTCGGTTTGTATTGGTTATTTTTCATAATAATCAAAATACCTTTTTCACTAATTAAAAAGGCATTCCCATTTTTTTTAACCGTTAGATTAAGGTATCCTCTTGTGTGCCTGAGACGAAAAAAATTAATGAACACAACAGAATGTCACGAGGATACAAATACGTAGCCAAATATAGAGTTGTGAAAGTCACTAACCAAGCTAAGCACTCCATAATGATACCCTGAAGACACTAGACTCAACTGACATTGCTTATCCATCGGCGCCTTAGGGATTTCTGGCCATCATCATTGTAATTAAATTGTTTTTTGTTGAACTAGCTGCGACAGTCCATCTGTTAGTTATTCATCTTATTTCGCTCTACAAAGACCACCTAAATCGTGATTCGAAGCGATATAGCACCATGTTTTAGGCAGGCAGCATCAAAGAATGCTTGAGGATGTATATGATCCGTCTACATAGGCATTTTGTCTTCATCTCTTTCTTTGACACTCCTGGACGTGCACGAGACGCAAAAAAAATTGATGTACATAACGTAATGTCACTCGCGTAGATACAAATACGTAGCCAAATATAGACGTGTGAAACTAACCACACCATAATGATACGCTGAAGACACTACTACACTCAACTGACACTTGCTTCTCCATCGGCCCCTCACACGGCTTTTTGGACATATGCCCCAATTCATCTGATTAATGTTGACAATTAAACAACTCGACCGGACCGAATTAGTGACTCGAACCGGTCGGTTCGATCCGGATCTGATATATAACAGACGGTTATAGCTGTAGTATCGAAATCAAAGCTCCTTCTCCGCATCCCTCAAACAGAGAACCGAACATCATTTAGAACATGGCATCCGTTTCGGCCATCTCTGAAGCTGATCGACTGGCGCAGTTCAGGGCCTTCGACGCAACGAAAGCCGGTGTAAAAGGGCTGGTGGATGCTGGAGTGACCGAAATCCCTCCTATCTTCTACACGCCGCCTGAAATCGTACTGGACAGCAAATCAAGTGACCGGAA